TGGCGTCAACAGTAATGCCAAGAAAAACAGTTGACTCAACAGGGTCCAACTCTACTCCATTCAGTTGTACATTGGTGCTTAACTGCCTCACATTAGGCGTAGAAAATTTTATTAATTTAGTTTTACTTGAGTTCAAAAGCAGATTATTAACATTAAACTAATGGACAACCTTAGATAGTGCCAAATTAACTTGGTCAAAATTTTCAAGTTGACGCTTAACTTTAAAAACAAGCGAAGTGTCATCCGCAAATAATAGGATTTTGTGATCATCCCTTACACAAAAAGGTAAATCATTGATATAGATAAGGAATAAGAAAGGACCTAGAATTGAACCCTGCGGAACACCCATAGTTACCACAGATCCTTTTGATTTTTTTCCATTAATATCTACACTTTGTATTCATTCAGCATTCTCGCTTTCGACGCGAGGCCGCCTTGCAAGAACGTTTTAACCAGGGCTGAGACTTGCCACCGATCGGCACCGCAGAAAATGGAATAAAGAGTTCCATGCCCTGCAGAACCACTTCGGTGACAGAGGCGGCGACGGAATCTGGAGCTTCCAGCGAATAGGCCCCCAAGGGTAGGACGCAAAGAAAGACCGCATCCCGTCCCAATCTGCTGACTTATAGTGCCAAATACGGCGACAACCCATAAAGCGGGGCCGTGAAGGGCGCGTAGATGGCACAGTACTTCGGACCACACAATGATCCGATGAACCCAATGGCGGATGTGAAGTCAGCAGAAGGTCCAACAAAGAGGGTTTATGACCATCCACATCTGGTATTCGCGTAATCGCAGGGACCATTTGTGTCAGGTCGTAGGCTAAAGCAAAGTCGTGAAAGGATCTTCCCGCGTGATCGGTGGTTTCAGAGCCGAGCCAATCGGCATGGTGGGCGTTAAAATCGCCAAGTATCATGATTTCAGCGGTAGGAACACTTTCGAGCATGGAATCTGTAGCCATTTGGATGTGCCCAATGAGTCGGTCAGTTTCGGTATTTCCGCTATGGGACCTATACAGGCATGCGTAGAATCGCGGATGGTCATCGCAGTCTACGCGCAGCCAGAGGTTAGATAGGTCCCTTCCTTCAAGCGTCCCGAGGCGACGAGAACAGATATCCTCTCTGACGTACACGCAAACTCCCGCCCGCGGCACAAATTAATGTTCCAATTTGTACCCCGGGTAGGAGAGGTATGAAGTATCAGCCGGGGAGGAAATCTGAGTCTCGGTAAGAAAGAGCAAGGCCGGCTTCGCAGTCTCTAAATGGTAGTGGACTGCGTTGTTCATTGGAATTGAGCCCCCTAACATTTGTGAAGTCCACGGCGAGCGTGGACGGGGGTGCCTTTGTTGAATAGCTCTGTTTGCTCCGAGACTGTTTTTGTTGAGCGCAAAATTGCCCTCCCCCCAGAATACGAAGGGCAGCCTGTGCGTCCACCACCGGGTGCTGAGTGTCCCGGTGTTAGACCTCCAGAGGGGGATTCTCCACCGCAAGCGCGTGTGGTACCCCCCTGGGGTAGATTCTGTTTTTTCTTCACCTTCATATTGGATGATCTCCGGGAGTCCGCACGAAACGCGAGTACAATAAGGCGAACCTATTGTATCACTTCACGCCGGTTTTCTAAGAGACAGTGGTACTGCCCCGGTCGTGCCTGCCTTTCAGAAACATAACATAATATATGTAACTAATAATAATTCATTGACATTACAGATGGTGTGTGGTGATCTGAACAGCATAAGCTTTATAAATAAAGTCTCTGCAGAGTTGAGTGTATTACTTTAGAATACTTTAGATCTAATACTCACCATGGCCTAAACAATATAATTGGAGCTATTGACTGCACCTATATCAAAATTAATAGAACCAAAGGTATCGCCTACTCTGAAGCATACAGAAATAGAAGGGTATTTTTTAATACAGTTGCTCAAAAAGTGGCGTATTGCAGGGACGTATAGCGTTCGGGATGTGGGCTATTACACACTCGTGCTTTTTTTTTACCTTTTCCGAACTAGTGCGTTTTCTTTCCCAACTGTCAAAATAATGTCTATTAAAAAGAAAAAAACCAACCACGAAGTTTTTACTAAAAAAAATTCATAGAAATTTTTATGATTCATGCAAATATTTCTAAAAAGAAGCTACAGCTTTGTTTCAATATAAGATTTAATGATTTGATTCAATGAGTTAGGTTAGATTTCATTTCATCTCCTTAAATTTCATTTCATATCAATAAAAAATTGTACTGATGACTTGGCTGTATGGGCATAGTTCCCTTTGCCTACCCAGAATGGGTGAAGAAAAAAAAAATCTGCTTATATTCTTTTACGGTTGGCGCCATTTTCCAAAAATGTTCTTTGCGCGTTTAGTTGTTTGTTATATTATATATTAAATATACATGAACGAAATTAATAATAGTTTGTCTCAAACAGTAAATAAATATGCAACCTAAAACTTCTCCAGTTAGTATAAAAAACTGTACCAATGTATATGTGAACAATAATTTGTATAAGAAATAAATATTAGTTGAGTTTATTGTGTTTTTATTATTTTATTAAATTGCATAATTTTTTCGCAACTATATTAAAAATAGTTGTTCAGTACACGTTCACAAACTTGTTCCGACTGTCAACCCTCACCTTCGGCTGCGCCTCGGCTCGGGTAGACATTTGTCGAAACTCTTTGCAATGACAGGCTTTCCGCACTTGTAATGAAATATACTATTTCTGTAAATGTGCAAGCAAGAATAGGACCTGATATGGAAATATTTGATATAGTGACTAGGTGGCCTGGCAGTTCACACGACAGCAGGATATTTAGAAACTGCCAGGCGTATGCAAGACTGCTAAATGGTGAACTAGTTAATAATAGAGAAGTTTTAGTAGGTGACAGCGGTTATCCAGCACTTAACTTCATGTTAACACCACTTTTAAATCCAATGACAAGAGCTGACAATAATTATAATTATTCTCAAATAAGAACTAGGAATATTGTTAAAAGGTTTTTCGAAGTGTGGAAAAGGAAATTTCCATGTTTGCAGCTAGGACTACAGTCAAAATTGACAAATACTAGTAATATTATTATAGCTTGTGGTGTATTGCATAATATAGGTATACAGAGAGGGAATGCTTAAGACGATGGTACTAAAATAATTATTAAACAAAATATATTTAAATCTATAGTCCACATTTTCTTATTTTCTCTTCTTTTTAATAAAATTTAACATTTATGATGGATATCTTAAAAATTCTTCTACGAAAGCTCTATTTATTTATCGAAGACTAGGTTTGAACGTTTAATCGTTTTTTTCTAAGAAATTGTATGTTATGATCTTTAATTTAAATAATAAATTAATCCGATATATTTTGTCTTAATTGAAATAATAATAATTTTATGACGTTCCCGTAAATGACGAAACGTTGTCTAAATGATGGCGACGTTCAAGTCATGATAAATGCGGAACGCATTACAACACATGTTACAAACTTTAGTTTAAAAAAACATCAAATGTGTAAGTAGGAACTTTATGTTGAGTTGTAACTCTAAAACTTTCATCAAATACTAAGTAATATAAACTCTACTAAAAATCAACACGCACGCACAAACAAGTATCCCGATCTTTTGCAGTTGGGTTAAGAACCCAAAATGGTTTGTCCCTCAGAAATTTTATATATTAATATAATTTAATGCCTGTATCTTTCATGAACTTTGGATGAAAATCTTTGACTGTATTTAGGAGAACACGTTTTTGTTTTTAAGTTGCACCTTTTCTAATAAAAGTATCAGCAGTTGCCTGTAATTGTGAGGTTAAAACCTCCGCAAATAAAAGCTTTTTTCGTACGTCATTAGCCACGTAAGAATCTCTGGTTAAATCGTCAACTTTGGTATTTTAGATAATTGTCTTGAGATTTAACAAAAAAAAATTCAGTTAGTAATAAATATTTGAGAATCATCAAATCAACATATTTTATCCTTGCTACTTCTGTTAGCTACCACAATCGAGAGTTTCGTACAGGAAATTATTGGGCGTCTCATCAAAATAAAGCTACTCACGGAAAATTAGCTTGATAGTAATCAAGTGCAAAAATGGGCGATGGATCCTGGACTATAATTCATTTTATAATTAATGCATACCTCCACTTTCACGTCGTACAGTCGATTACCTACTCTGGTCTGTGGTATTACTTTACCAAGGATGATTCGTTCTCCACCACATGGAAGACCTCTAGAACAAGATGGCTTTGGAATAGTTTGTGCGCTATGACATTAATAATTGAACATCCTGTTATTAGTAATACGATGATCTTACAAATAAAAAAATACGAAGTAAAATTACATACAATTAATTTAAAAGAATATATTTTCATGGTTCGTGTATTTACTTACCTTTCGACACAGATATTCCGTTGAAAAAGCCTGCTTCAATATTCTGAAATCCACACATAATAATAGTTTGGCTCATAATATTGATTGAATACTTTTTTAATTGTGTTAAAATGAACAATAATCAAAAAGGTGGTTTGAACGAAACAATGTTCAGTGCTATGAGAAAAACAACCCACATTTACCCAAACAATTTATCAATGGAGCAGCAAGTACCTAACACCTTAAACTATTAAAAGTCGGTTCATCATAACTAATTATTACTAATACTAGTTGTGGGAAAAAAAGAAATACCAATTATATTGAAATAGCTGACCTCTTTACAGAATCCAACGATTCAATGAGTATATTATCACTTTCGCACATCTCGTTCAGCCATCGAGATGACACACATCATCATTGGAAACGAATTCGAAAAGCGATTTGAAATAAAAAATAAAAAAAATGTTTATCATGTATCTTTCAAAAAAGTGGAAAATTTTGTTATTGTAGATTTAACTACTGATGTCTTTTAAATTGTTGGCATTTTTATTTACAGTTTTATCGTTAGTTTATCTGTTGCAAATTAGTGATTATTATATTTGTTGATTGTTATTCTAAAACGAATTGTTTGAGATGTCACATTGAATGAGCTTCGAAGTGGATCGTTACTCGCCGGCCTGGGCACACGTAGCCCTCTGTGCTGATCTCACTTGGGCCTCCGAACCTCCAGATGATTTTATCATAGCCAATCAGGTAGCCGCACTAGACTTCCTCTATCTCCTTCCTATCAGTACGTAGTTTTTGCGTTAAAGTTTAATTTATGTCCTCAGCGCCTATTGGCACAACACTGCCGTGTCTCGCAAATATTACAGGACCATACGACAGAGTCTTCGCAAAATTCAAAGAACCGATGTGATGCAGCGGGTATGGATTTAAGTACATCTTCTACTATACCACTAGCACATTTATCTACGTCGGGTTAATGGGCTAATTGGCATACACAACACCAAAGAGTGTAAATCTGTATTTAATCATAGCATTTATAAAATAATTATTATTTTAAGATAAGTAGAGGGAATACTATAGGCAGGTGTCAAATGAGGTGTTCGGCTCCTTTTTTATAATAATTGAATTCCAGAGAAACACCTTGACAATGCTAGAGCAAGTGGTCAGAGAAGCGTGAAAGACGTGATACCGGAATCTAGACTGGCTCAATTTTATGGAAACTTTTGTTACGACGAACACAGGTACCAATATATCGTTATAGGAAAACTTGAAATATAATAACTAGTAATAATATATAAATATAATTTGTTGGATAGAGAGAGCTGCTACACAAACCCAAATGACATCAGGATTCGCCCTTACTGCGCTCAGGGATACGACAACTCCGATGTCACTGAATGCTGGATGTTGCCTGAGGTAAGTTTTAACAATAGTCATAATAGCATTCTATTCCGAAGTGAGTATTGAAAAAGTACATTTCTCCAGGTTGAGTATTGGTTTCGTAAGCTGATGGAAGATCCCTCGGAACGCAGCATGGTGCCACGACGACGCAGGCAGTACCGAATACCAGCTGATGACGATTTGTGCGTACTTTTTTTTTACTTTATCCATATTTAATAGTAGGTATATAAAGCTTCCGAGGTTAAAGTAGATATTTTAGGCCATTCTAAGTACCCTAAGAATTCTTAGCTATGTGATAAAAATGGCGATGGAATACTGCACAGTACTGTACGGTATGATAGTTAATCATGTGTTAGTATTAATGAGCACCAATCGGCAGCTAGCGAGCGCTGGAGCCCGATTGGCGCACGAAATCTAGAGGAGGCGAGCCTGGAGGCCAGAGTGCGGAGTGTGCGTCAATTGTGGGAGGACGAAGAACAAAAGCCACAGCCCACTCCACCCCAGAACTCTAGGAAGATGAGGGCACGCCGCAGACAGCCACGACGACTCGGCGCCCTGGCCCCCCCTCCACCCCTCTATTCTTTGGACACTTCAGCGCAACTAGTCTGTGACCCGACTTGTAAGGTATGCGCAACGACTCAATAGTAGCTAGCTAGTAAGTTTAACATCTGTTAAGTACCTATCCGATTTTGTTACAGTTCCATTTTGAATCTCCTAGAGCGCCGACCGCTGATTTTCAGCGTGCAATAAGCCGCTACTCCGCGAGTATGCAGGCATTAATGCGAGCCACTGCGGCCAGATGTCCCTTGTACCGGGGTACTAATGTGAGCCGATACGCTCCCACCGGACAGAGACCCTTAAGATGCTCAGATAGACGCTGCATATGGTGGCCGAAAGATGCTCAGCCACCTAACAAGTATTACCAAACAAAAATACGTTCAAAACCACAACCACAGCCTGTTTCTACTGATGAGGAATTGGACAGGACTGAAAATGTTAAAACACCAGAAGAACCTCTTGAGAGATCAAATAAACACACCGAAGATGAGATAGAAAAGCCAGATAGCCCAAAATTAAGAGATAAAATAGTAGAGGATGATCAAACGGCCTCTACAAGTACAGCTCCAACTACAAATTCTGAACGAAAGAAACGACTTTACAGCACCGTCCTTAGCATGAGTCCTCCGATAAACATAGCAGCAAGCTGCATAAGAATAAACAAGCTCTCACCTGGAATTTTAAAACTGAATCCAAAAATTGTGCTACAGACACGCCTAAGAACTTCAACTGTAGATAACAAATTTGAGGAGCTTGAAAAGGAAGCATTAGAACAATATAAGGCATCAGACGAAAGCATTGATTCTAAATTTCAAGAACTAGAAAAAGAAGCCGTAGAACAATATAGCACAAGTAACAGTAACACAAGCTGCAGTAGTGGACATTCGGCAGAAAAGAAACTCAACTCTATCATGGATATCAAGAAATCATCAAAATTTCCAAAGGATAAATCGGTTGATAGTGTTGTTATTTACTCCCAAAATTTTCCGGATCTCAATGCAAGAGGGCACAGTAGCGTTACGAATCTAAAAAACTCCCATGTCCCCCATAGGGGGGAAAAAAAAGAACTGAACCACAGATTGTGTAAACCTTCTAAAAAGAATAAATCGGAGTCGCATCAAGCTGGGTCTGACACAGATTATGAATCGAGACACAATAAAGCCAGTCATAAAGGCGCTATGCATTGGACACTTCATCTGATGCCACCAAAAAAGAGACACTTGTCTTCTTGTGTATCGGATTTTTCCTCAGATGATGATTTAGGAGAACCACCAGGTTTTATTAAAGACAGGCCTTGTATTAAGCACCACTTGACTGGAAAATTTAAAATGTCGGCCCATGGTGCGGGAGATTTACAGCCAATCATAAGAAAAACATAGAATCATGCAAATTAATGTAAGCTAGCATAGTCAAAAAATTGTTCAGTATGTTTATGAGGTCAAGTAAGAGAATGTAACAATTTGAAGCTATCAATGTGATCGAAAACTTATTTTTACTAGTCATAAATAATTTGTATATATATTTTTGTATTTGTCTTTACTTGATATTTAAGAAAACAATTTCAAATAATGAAAATGTTACACTGAAAATTGCTTAGATGTTGAGTTATGAAAAAATAAATATTTATATTTATTTGTATATCTGGATTTTATTTTGTTCCCAATTGTTCCAAAACATTTATAAATATAACATACTCTATCTTCAATAACTACCAATATGAATGGATTTATTCAAACAAATCAGCTTTCTTCTAAGAATTTTTCTAAGTCTGAACTATCAACATCCAATTCAATTTGTTCAAGTGCTGTTGGCAATGGCTGAGGTCCTGAACCTGTAATTTGTCATTAAAAATATATCTCTAATATATAAATCAAATACTTTTTTGAAAAAGATGGTATTCAGAATAAGCGCATTTATCCAAACCTAAGCTACAAAAACACTGAAAGGGTTTAGTATTGTCTTTGATTAACATAACTTTTATTCATTTAATAAAACACTATTTTGACCGGGTCACCGTGACCACGCACGCTGTAAAGCACGCGAAACGTCGGATAAAGTTAAAATTATGTTAAATAGTTGTAAATTTATAATAATACATAACTTCAATCCGGTCAAAATAGTGTTTTATTAACTGAAAGGGTTATTAATAAATAAAATAAAATAAAATAGCCTTTATTACTGTAAGTTTTAAAGTTAGTATATATAAATTAAAATTATAAAATATCCCTAATTACAGTGTGCCTTTCGGCAAAGGCCTCCTCCAATTCTTTCCACTGTGTTCTGTCCAAGGCGACTCTCCTCCAGTTTGGGCCTGCTGTCAGTTTTAGCTCGTCCTCCCATCGTCTGTATTGCCGTCCTCTACTTCTCTTGCCGTTACGTGGATACCAGTGTGTGACGATGTTGCTCCATTTGTTCTTTGAAGAAGAAGAAGAACGCATCAAGTGTCCTGTCCACCTCCATTTTTGTTGGTCTATTCTGATCAGTATGTCGGTTAGTTTTGTCCTACGCCGTATGTCGGTGTTTCGAATTTTATCTTTCCTCTTGATGCCGAGCATACTTCTTTCAACTGCATGCTGGAATGTTGACAGTTTTTTCCTGTGTAACTGTGTAAGGGACCAAGTCTCACATCCGTATGTAACACAGGGCAGTATACAGGTATTAAATACTTTTTTCTTTAGACCTATATTCATAGCCTTGCTCTTCATTATTTCTTTCATTGCCCAGTATTTTCTCCAGCCATTAGCAATTCTTTTGTGTATTTCTTTAGACATTTGGTCTTCGTGAGAGATTATTTGCCCTAAGTAAACATATTCTTCTACATACTCTAATATCTTTCCATTCACTTTGATTTCTGTCTTGATAGAGTTTGTCATCACCTTAGTTTTTTCTGTATTCATGGTTAGTCCAGCTTTGATACTTTCATTTGTAAGCATTTCAATCATAACCTGCAGTTTTTTTGGGTTTTCTTCAAAAATAATCAGATCATCCGCAAAGCGAAGGTGGCTAAGTAATCTTCCATTAATATTTATACCGACTTGATCCCAGCTGATATTTCGGAAAATGCCTTCCAAAGCAACTAGGAATATTTTCGGGGAGATAGGATCACCCTGTCTAACACCTTTGCTGATTTGAAAGATGCTTCCTAGTTTCTCTAGTTTGATTCTTGCTTTTCTGTGGTTGTATATTTCCTTTAATATATTCAAATACATATTATTTATTCCCATTTGTTGTAGGCATTTCCACATATAGTTGTGATTAAGGCTATCAAAGGCTTTATTGTAGTCTATGAAGGCGGTGTATAGTGGTAGATTGTATTCTCTGTATTTTTCCATTATTTGTTTTACGGTATGAATATGATCTAAAGTGGAGTAATTGGTTCTAAAGCCTGCTTGTTCTTCTGGCTGATTTTCATCAATCTTTTTACATATCCTGTTGAGAAGTACCTTTGAAAATATTTTATAGATATTAGACATAAGGCTGATGGGTCTGTAGTTATTGACATCCTCTTTAGAGCCTTTTTTATGGATCAATATTATATGCGATATGTTCCATTGTTGTGGGATGATGCCTGTGTTAACTATTTTGTTGAAGATATCTGTTAATAGTGGGCTTATCTCTTCTATGGTACCTTTTAGTAGTTCATTGTATATCATGTCTGGTCCAGGAGCTTTATCCAGTTTTTGACTTTTTATTGCTTTTTCCACTTCGCACTGTAGAATATCAGGTTCTTTGTCTTGTGTGCTATATTCTGAAGGGTTTATCACTTTGTTTTTGTTGTTTGCATTTGTCTCATAGTTTATTTGTTTACTTTGATCGGAATAAAGTGTCTTATAAAAGTCTGTTGTTGTCTCTAGAATGTCCTTCCTTTGAGTAAAACTCTTTTCTGCTTTCTTCAATTTTGGAATCCAGTCATTTTTCTCTCGTAGTACTTTCAGAGCCTTTCTTGTGCCACCAGATTTTTCTATGTAATTTTCCAACGTTCTTAGTCTCTTAGATCTTTGGTCATTCCTTATATGCTCTCGTATTTGTTTGCTTAGTTTATTAATTTTTTTTAAATTTCCTTTGTTGTCTTCTTGTATCATTTCTTTTCTTTCTGCAAGTAGTTTTAGCGTTTTGTCACTGAGTTTTTTTGATTTATTTTTTCCATTTTGTTGTATGTTGCTAACACTGCTGGTCAGTTGTAATTCTAGGCTGTTATATTGTTCTGTAATGTGTAGGGTTTTGTAGGTTTCATTTTTTGCTAAGGAGTTAATTTTAGTTTTTATTTCTTGAATATTTTCGTGTTTAAAATCTTTTCCTGTAGTTTTGTGTATATGTTTTCTTGATTTTTTAATGAAATTCATAAAGAAAGGGTTATTACTTACATGTAAAAAATTGGTTATTCAGGTCAAGCAATCTTTGTAAGAACTAATAATAACTAAAGAGTCATACAGAGTTGTTCTTTAGTAAATTTTACTTAAGTCATTTAGTAGATCAGTTGTGATATTATTTATAACGACAATGATAATTTATGATTATTGATAATTTCAACAGATGGCGTGAAATACCTTTTGTGATGTAACTTACCTAAGCCTAAGAATAAAATTACTTCCAGTTTAAGCTAATTTTATTTATTATAGAGACAACTTCAAGTTTTATTTTAGACAAGTTCCAAACACATAAAAATACAAACCTGAAGGTAAGCTGCCACTGGTCAAATATCTTGCAACATCACTCTGGAATGCAGCTGCACTAGTCTCTCTCTTTATTTGCAGCTCTGCAAACTGTTGTCTCTCTCTTTTGTTATTTAGCTCTGCATTTTCTTTTGCTAACTGTGTTCTTGTTTCTTCAAGCTGTGCTGTTAATGTATTGTTTTTCACACATAATGAAAAAATGTATATTAGATCACATAAAGACCCTTAAATTATAAAAAGTACTTACTCATTTTCTTCTTCTTATAAAGACTTAATTCATAATGATGATCAAGCTTCCATTTTTCCATATTATTTTTTTCTACTAAATCTTCAAACTCAACTAGTTGCTCCTCAACTTCTTGTAACAATATTTGTAAATTTTTTAGGCCGTCCATACACTGCGCGACACTTGCTGTTAAGATTGGTAAATAAGCTATATTATTTGAAAGTTCTGTCGCAGCTTTTAAACGTTTATTCGAGATCTCATGTAAGTGAAGGACCAATCTATCTACTTCTTCGGCGGCTTTTGCATTTTTGTCTGCATAGTCATGTAGTTCAGCCCATTCTTCATGATATTTTTCTAATAGTGCACCACCAGCTCCGAAATTTACTTTTTCGTTGGAAACTTTCTGTTTATCTTTAAATATATTAGTTACCTTCTGAACCTCTTGCAGAGTCTGCCGAAGATTATTACTTGAACTTAAGCCATCTTGTACGACTGAAATAAATTCTTTGAGATTGCCTAGCATTCTTTAAAATAAACTAAGAACGGAAGAGAAGCAAAACAAATTTAAAAAGTATAAATCTTGTCATCACATAATATTGACAATTGACTGATCACAGAACAAGTAGAACAAGATAAATAGTCAACACCATGTACTCTGTGGTCGAAAAAAAGTGTCAGCTCCACAGAAAACTAATTAGATCGTTACTTTGTAATTTACATTAAGTAACTAATATTTAATTAACTGCTAGTTCTTAAATTAAGGGCGTAGAACGACCGACTATAAACTACTGACCATTTGTTTATAAAGACCGAGTCTCTTTTTTTAGGTCGCAGAAATGGTCCGAAACATATATGTAATTAAATTGTACATTCAACATTGAATAATTCGAAAAATTATTCCATTTAATCGTTCGAAATTATATACCTAAAACCCATATGTAACGTTCTTCATTATCTCATAATAAAACAGAGCTATCATGTTCATTGTTCAATTATGTCAAACGTATATAAAATATTGTAACCACCACCCAAACAACACGAAATTATAAACAGAGTTAAAAATAAGAGAGCTATTTGGGTTTTCATTTTATATGATTATAAACAGTAGTGTCGATTTCTTTAATCTTGTGACGGGTGTTCGGAAAACCGGTATCTTCGGATAAAAGAACTACTTATATTATATTATTACAAACAAATAAATGAAAACTATTTTTACTTTAATGACAAATTATAGTTAAACCAGTGCAGACAAAGCGCAGACAATCTTGTATGTATTAGGCAAAATTAAGCCTTAAGAAAATCTTCAATCTTCTTCTGGCAAAGCAAGCCTACCCTCGTAAGACCGGCTAGGACACGTACTTTTTTAAGGACAGATATCTGATACTGGTCGCTTTCAGCCTGTGTTTCAAACTAACGCTAGACAATATCAAGAAAACGCTTCAGAAGCAGAAATAATGTTTTAGTCTTCATTATCTCATCTTTTAGTTGATGAGGTGCTAGCGGTGGCGTGGGTCTTATTAGTCATGAGGTCTAAAATTTTCTTTTATTTCCAAATGCTAACATTTTTATGTTCAGGCATTTTCAATCGAGAATTTACTTTCACGTGGCATAATTTATTTTATTAAATAGCGGCTACTTGGAAGTCCAAGAAGTGACAAACACGCGCGGGTTGGGCGGGCGTAGTCATTCGGATAAAGTCGGAAACACACTTACGTGTCGTGGCGTGTCGTGACGCGCCAGAAGCATATTTTAATATGATAAAGGCGGAAACACACTTACGTATCGTGGCGTGTCGTGACGCGCCAGAAGCATATTGGTTTCATACATTTAATATGATTAGAAACATATTTGCATGTCGTGTTGTGTCGCAACACGTTCTGTCGTGGCGCCAACTGCTCGCCACCGATTGCGCCAGAGCGGTGGTTGGGGTTATGACGCGACACGACACAACAGGCAAATGTGTAATGTGTTTCTATACCGGCGCGTGGCTCATGGCGCGAACATCTAGCAGATATGAAATTAAATGATGAAATTTCTCTTCGTTACTCTCTAATTTTTTAACAAGACGATGAAATTCACCTTTGTCTTGTCTCCCTCTGTTTATAGGGTGAACCCAGTATCTTTTCTTTTTTTTGCTCTTAAGAAGTTTGATTGCTAAGAGAAATTGAAGGTCTTATTCAAAATCACTCTCTGAATCAGACGAAAACATTATGTATGTTTGAACGCTGCAAAGGTTCGTTAAGTACTGTTCAGAAATAACGCCAGAGGACGCACGACACGACACGTAAGTGTGCACACTCACCGTCACGACACGCCACGACACGTAAGTGTATTTCCGCCTTAAGTGTGTTTCCGACTTAAGTGGCGTTCGGGTAATCGACGGTGAATGATCAATGACACCTATTTTACACTCGTGTATCCATTAGCTTGGTTTTGACGTATTAGTATGGCTTGAAAAATTCTATCGTTTGATATTTTAGCGTGGCTGGTGCTAGAATTGCTAGATAGTTCTTGTTTTTAGGTTGTCTGTGATTTTTGGTAATTGAATCATAGAGTCAAAATGTTATGAATATAATATATTCTATACCATAGAATATACATATCTATTGTTTGCACTTTGCAGTTTGAAAATACTGAAATATAACGAATCTAATTTTTATTTATAATTTCGTTTTGTATCGTTATATTAATAGTGTTAGTTTTAAAATAAATATCATCATAACAAAAACGAGTTTTTTGATTATGTTTACTGCTTACTCTTTATAAGTTTGAATAAATTAACTTTAAACTACCCTACTATAAATAAAGGAATAAATATGAATGTAAGGAAATTCAGTAGTGAAGAAGTACCACAAGAGTTTTTGAAATGGCTTCTTTCGATGGGTTGTCCTGCTGACATCGTGCCTTCTGTCGACAAAATGCCTTTGTAAGATCCCATTGCAAAGTATTTATGAAAGTAGCCATGAGCAATTGGCAGAAACTATTTTGATGATATCAATGAATTAGGTGTTAAAATTTTATTATCGATTAATTATTCTAGATTATGTCGTGGACAATACAATATGATATGGAAGAGTATGATGGAACACATTTCCTCTAAAAATGCCATTAGGAACAAACGAATACAAGTTTTCCTAGATGACATTTCAAAATGTAGAAAAAGATGTTCATTTAATGAGGTTTGCTATTTTTATTTAAGCATTATTTTTTGGAGGTTCTTTGAAGTTACATTCTAAAAGAAATACATCAGGTCCCAAGTCACTTAAAGATACAACTATCTAACTTAAATATTAAAAGAAAAAAGATATTGTTTCATTATTATTATTCTAATCTTAAATGAATAGTTAAAATAAATATCACTTAATTTTATCAGGCAGATAAGTGTCAATCTTGTGTGCCTTGGTGATGCTCTTGAGAGTTAAAATTTGATTTGTAAATAAAAACAAAATTTACTAGACAATAAACTGACTGTTTCTCATAGAAAACACAATCTGTTATTGAACCAATACAACTGACACTTTGGATGCAGAAAATTGAAGCAAAGAAGAAATTATTGGAAAAGGAAACAAGAATTGCTCAAGCACACAATGATCTTATAATTGTGGATAAAATATCTAGTTTACGTAAGTAGTGGTCAGGAATCTTAAATAAAATTTTTGATGGAACTTTGAATTGTCTCTCAATTCTGCCTCCTTTTTAATTACCTTTGATAAATCTCAACAATATCAGTTTCAAGTACAAACAGGTTTATGTAATAGAGTTAGCTCTTTAAATTTTAAGTCATTAAGAATTTAATTTTTTTGAACTTAGGAAGAGACGTCTTTCTATGCAGACAGATAACTTTCTAATTTCTTGTAAAACTTTTAGTTACACAGAAAAAGCTATCAAGTATTAAAGTGGAGAATTTGCAACGACGCTCTTGGTTACTGCAACAAGTTTTAGCAGAGTTTGAGAGTAAGAAGAAACACTTAGAGGAAACAAGAGATATTGCCAAGTCACTTTGCAATATCAGTGCAAGTGACAATCTTGAGGTGTTTAATTTAAGTATTTTATCAGTGAAAACATGACTTTTACTTTATTATTATATTTGTTAGGTATCATAATATATTAATTAAATCTGCTTTTGTAAAAAGACAATAACCATTTTGAGCAGTAATTAAATGTATTGTAATTTAAAAATACAATTTCAGAGTAAACTTGAGAAGTGTATGGGGTTAATAAAACAAAATTTGACATCTCAGACTTCTCAGACCAGTACATTTGCCGAAACTGATTCAGGTAATATGCACCATTGTATTCTCTGATGTGAATTTTTTACAATTCCCTGAATAAGGCCACATATGACTTGTCTTATTTACAGAAGAGACTCTAGAATTGCTAGTGAAATACCGTGGAGATGTCCTCTGGAATAATTTAAATGAAAAGCGAGCCTCACTAGTCAGAGAGCTAGAGATGGCCCACAACGAGAGAAGGGAAAACGTCGGTAGAGATGTGTAAGTTGACAACTTTAACGAACGACTACCATTTGAAAGTGTCGTTTAGTGAGAATTGTCGTTCCAGTGGAAAAGTGGAGGCTGCGGTGTCCCACTCCACGAGAGCGCAATGCTCCTTGGCCTTGCGGAGCATGAAGAATCGCCAACACGTGAAGCACGCCCAGAAACAACTCGCTGCGAATATTGAACTCCTCGGGGTAATATTTTTAGCGTCTTGTTGTAAGAATCGGTTCGGCGACCGTCTAGTACCTCGTTCTACCAGTCATTTATTGGCATTTCAGGCGAACTTGAGCGCCGAGTCGTGCGAGCTGTTGGTGTTGAACTGCGAAAGAGCTTGCGCCCGAGCGAAAGTCTCGGCTCTGAAGGAAATGCTGGACGACGTGAAACATTCGCGCGGAGTTTTCTCTCTGGAAGAACCCGCGACCGACGACAGTCGCACGACCGGGCGACTAGTCGCAAACGCAGACAAGGACATAGTGAGTGAATTTTACCTAGAATAGGACCCGGTCAAGCTCAAACGGCACAAAACACTCGCACTCAACAAAATTGATATTTCTCTATCGACAGGAAAGGGAGCGCAACGAGCTAGTGAAGTACTTGACGGCGCAAGAGGCCACCGAGCACAAAATCAGCGGCGTCAAGACGTGTCTGACCAGGGTCTTCAAAGCCTTTCATACAAATTCTGCCAAGGATTTAATTAAAGGTTACCCTTCGAAACTCGATCGCCCCGCGAAGGGTCGAGGCAGGGCAGAGTGAAAGCGTCCATTGTTTCAGACGGCCAATTCAATTTCCCGCGAGAGTCGGTGGCCGCCCTGCACAAGTTCTTCTCGGAGATACGCCAGAGGGAGGCGAACGGACGCGACCTGAGTCTGGAGTTCGACGCCTCCGACGCGATTGTGGACCGAAGCGATCGCTCGACCGAGCTGAAGATATATCTCCAGACCTTCAGCTTGGAGAAGAACAGGAAAATTCTTTTGAAAAGGTATCACCTATCGAGACGAAAGCTTTCGCTTTTGTTTATATGCAGACATGTCTCTGAAATGAGTTTTCAGCGGCGAGAAAGTGTGGATCTCCGACACCCTGAAGTCTTCGACGGAACGCCTCCGACGGCAGTGGCTGCTCGACGACGTCGCGCCGCCGTTGTGTCCGGCCGCCGGTGTCGAATATAACCTGGAGCAGATCATCGACGACGCGGAAGACGTCCGGGGGCTGGAGGAGGTCGCGAGAGGACTCGCGTCCGGAGATGCGCCCGGCGAAGGAGGCCTCGGTGAGGGTGGACCCGTAGATCGGCCGATTCGGACGGATTTAGTGGACGTCCGATGTAATGTCGCTTCTGTTTTAGATGTCGGAGACCCATCTCGAGCGGACGAAGCGTACGAGGACCGCTTAAAGAAGAGAATTGCGGAAAACTTGGGCGTCTTGGAGAGAACTAAGAAAAATTTGGACATTGCGGAAGAAAACCTGAACTTCTGGGCGCGAGACGAGATGAAGAAATATATATCGTCGACGAGAACCGTGGACGGGAAGAGCTTCGCAGAATACGAAAGTTTATATTCTAAGGCCATTGTAACTAAGTAATAAATGATGTTTTGCCAAAATCCTAGTTGTACCTTTGCAAAGCTTTTATTCATTTGACGACGTATTAGCACGTCACTTGAAGCATCCCGGCATCATTCTTAAACAAATAATGATGTAGTATTGTAAAACGATTTCTTTCTGATTACTAAAATTTTAAAACATCTTGGATTTTTGCTGAAAATTAAATAAATCGTTCTTTTCACATTAATACCACTTTCTGATAGTCATATCACAAAGGCCGGTAAAATTATAGCCCTACTCGAAGAAGGTGTCTAGGCGGCAAGTGTTGAAGAAGTAAGAAGTAGAAGTTAGTTCGTGGACGGTCAGGAGGAGGCTCGGCCGGCTCACGGCTGCCAATATCAGGAGTTAAACTCTCGAAACTGTGCTGCATGGACTCTGGAGTACTGGATATAAGTATTGTTTTCTGATGAAGCTAAAATCTATTGTGTGGAGAGGACTATTAAGACGGTGTTAGTATTGCCGTATGCTTGTAATGTACCATTTTCTACGACTGGATACGGATGAAACAATTTTGCTCTAAAGATCATAATATATCTGTCTACCAATGGGCAATGTTATTTGGGATCCATTGTATTTTATGTGTAAAGCCAGATTAAAAATAATAATAATTTGTTTCAATCGACCCCGACGCAATGCCTAGTGAAACAAAGTGTAATAAATAAATTTAATTTTCACATGATTATTCGGGCGTTAAAATAAAAATTCACTACAGTTATAACTTATCTAATAAATAAAACTTAACTATGGGCTTTGAATTGTGGCAAACATAATTAAGAACACCTTCTGTACACTCTTCATGTGCCCACATTTTATATTCCGTGCATTGTAACCATTTTTCCCTCGGTCTGCTTCGATTATGCTGACATACCAAGCAGTAGTACTCCTCTTCTGATGATGACGATGCGTTTTGCGTGTTCTCATTTTTCCTGTCCTCAGTATTTGTTATAATATACATATTATATTTTCATAACTTGTCTAGCGTTGGTGCGTTTCAATCTATTTTTATCTTTTCTGTTTCAGGTGTACCTCTGTAGATTGTAGATTTCCTCCATTTGTTAATTTCCACCTCTTACATCTTCTCAGGCTTGTTTGTACGATGATGGCTTCAGCTCTGGTTGTCTTCCATTTGCGTATCCTTGTATATCCGTGTAGCATCTAAACAACAAAATAATTAGATAAATAAACTGATTCGACCGTCCCCACTCCCCAGCCCCCCTTCCTAATATAAAATTGTTCACAACAAGCATTATAATAAAATTAAATCGAATTATACAGCATTAATCGACCAACTTCAAATAAAATAACTTAAAATTCTCAAAGTTAGAACAACATATATAACTTTTAAGATAAAATATGATGGGGTCTCCTATACCCATTCACAGCGCGCGACGCAACACTACAATTCGTGTTCCGACTTGTCCGCCGCTTTGTTCTCCTCTCGCGCCCCTTAGCGCATCATGTACGGATGTTGAGATATTCGCTCTGTTTCAACCGTACCCAGTCTCAGTCAGTCATAACGGAAGTCCTAATTGCCCATAACTGCTCGTTCATCTCTTGAGGAAGATTCCACTTTTATGGACGACAGTGCTCGCTCGCATCGTTCTGGTGACGTGGAGCGTACATGCAAGGATTTGGGATTCGTCGTTTAGATTGGCCAGCTGGAGTCCTGACTCAATCCAATTGAGCATGTCCGGGATGTTCTAAAGAGATGAATGAGTAGGTAAGATCACTGCAACCACAAAAGATAGCTTAAAAAATTAGTAATAGCATAATAGTGGGAACGTATTCCTCAAAACGATATTAAAAATATCGTTGAAAGAGTGCCCAGCCCCAGACGGATTTAAGCTGTGATTTTGGCAAGAAGAGGTCACTCATTATTCGGATTTCTCTAACTAAAAATCAGTGGCGTAACAATAGGATGGCAGGGCTGGCAAAATGCCACGGGCCCCCGACCCAAGAGGGCCCGTGCCCAAGAGATATTATATTCTATGGATGAATGTGAAGTCTCCAATACCCATTGGGCTAGCGTGGGGATTACAAACCATTCCCTTTCGCCTAAGAGGGGGCCTATGGCCATTAGTGGGACATATACAACGTGTGATTGAGTGCGAAGTTTATTAAAATTAAACTGAGTATTTATACACAACGTGACGACTTTTACTAATAGGGCCCCATCAAAAGAACTTGCCACGGGCCCCAGATGGTATAGTTACGTCACTGCTAAAAATAACTTTATTATTTGTAGCAGCCCAGTATTCCAATGCTGGCTGTAGCTTTAATGAGAGTGTCTCCGAAGAGAAGAGTAGGGACAAAGGGTGTTTTATTTTACCATAGAATTACCGCCTTGGTATAAGTTTAATCAATATGACAAGATATTGCGGTACTCCCATTTTCCGTAGTCTGGTTCACAAGTATTCCCATCTTAGGCAATCTTATGCTTTGGAGTAGGTAATCAATAAAGCACATGAACGCTAAATTCACGGCTTTTCTCGTAGATTTGCCTGACATTTACAATCTGTTCTCTCGTTCCTCGACCTTTTACAAACCCAGCTTTGTTCTTTGCCATTGGGGTAAAGATTGCAAGCGGCCCTTAATAAGGAAACCATTATTTTTCTAGCATGGGATATGAGCGCTACCGTACGATAGTTCTCGCGCCTATATCGCACGTAGATCGTTTCCTGTGTATTAGAATCAGTAGTAACCCCTTCCAATCTGCAATCTGTCCACCGGTCTTCCACACTTGATTACATAGATCAAGCATGACTTTGAACCATTGATCTCCTATATGTTTTAACTCTTCAGCGAAATTTTTTTTTGCTGAGTCATTTTGGTATTTTGTATGGTGGTAATCGATGGCACCTTTTAGCAGTTCCTTGTATCTTTGATAGCCCTCCATGTTTCTTCAGTAGTCTATGTTTAACTTGGAGCATCAACCCTTATCCGGCTTGCCTTACGAGATGATGATGTTAGATCTTTGAATTTGTTACACTTCGTGTCAATACTAGCCTTTATATTAAAATTTGATACAGATCCTGAATCTTCTTGCCCGGGAAGTTTTCTCATGAACAACTACAGGAACTGTGCTGAAAAAAGGAAAGGTGGGCGCCCAAAACAATCCTGGCCACCCTCATCTGTGGCTGAGGTAGGAGTAGAACCATACACAACATTAGGTTGACATAGTCCGAAGTGCTTGGTTCAAGAAAGAACGCGATGGCGAAGGATTGTGCACGCCTTCTGCCCCATCTAGGGGGATATAGGAAAATAAGTCAAGTCGTAACTTAAGCCTTAAAGTTTAAGGAATAAATTTTGGATAAACTTTCCAATATGGACCATCGATTTGAATGCCCATATTTTTTTTGTAGATAGTATTCACTAAGTTCCCTCCCTCACCGGGACGCCATGGCGACGTGGCCAACGACGCCGCCAACTAGTTCTTATTGAGATGTATGCCGGCTATAACTCACTTGGCGACCGACTGGCGACGTCGCCAGTTGTTTACACGTGCTTGTATGTTTGTTAATAGAGGAGAAAACTGCCAAACTTTTCCACTAGTAGCCCTGGTATCGCTTGACCCATAACAAACGCAAACAAACGTCAAATCCCCTACTTTATTATTATAACACAAGATAAAACATTTTTTTTCTCCAAAAATACCTCGCTGCGCAGCAATCGGTTGTAATAACAATGGCACTCACAGTTTTTTTAAGAATTTAGTATTTACGCATAAGATGACTCTGGGAATAAGCTCTAAAAAGACGTAATTTCAAAGCTATAAACTCTTCGAGGTTATGTTCGGAAGCGGAACATTTTGTTGAATCCGATTATAAAGGTTTGCATAAACTACTTTTAAATTATGATGTATGTATATGGTATACCGTTTAGGTACTAAGGTATGTAATCAGTACTAATTATTATGCATTAATTTTAGGTTTACCTCAAGTTCATAGATATTTGAAAAAGACTGAAATCCCAACTGTTTTTGCATGGAAGAAACCCACTACCACAGCAAGTATCGTAATAATATAAATTATAATTAAATGGTCAGCCAAGTCATTAACATCATTGGAATGGATCAATTTCTTTTGATGTTAATTAAATAATTAAGAAGAAATAAACCTGATTTTGAGATGGCCAAATTTTTTGGCATTAGTAAGTAGTACTGCTGTTGGGAATATATTTGTTACATGGGTAAATTTTGTTTATGAATTATGGAAAAAATTGATACTTGGCCTAGTCGCTCACTGGTTGATTATTATAATATGCCAGATTTATTTAAGCAATATCATCCAGCTACCAGAGTGATAAAAGATGGTACAGGAATACTTACCCATATCAAAATCAAAAAACCCTACAGCGCAACAAACAACATTTAGTAGCTACAAACACCACAACACTATAAAATTATTTTCAGTTCATCTCGTATCGATTTGTTCAGATGGATATGCAGGCTCTACCGGTGACTGTCAAATAACTAAAAGAAGGTCCCTTTTAGCTGTTATTGATGAAAAAGATGCAATAATGGCTGACCGTGGATTCAATTGTGTTATGCTACGTAATTTTAAAGAAGGAATTGTAAAATACAAGTCCAAATTAATTAGTGGGAATTATTGTTTCTTAGTAATTCTTATACATTTATTAAGTAAGTAGATCCTTTTTAAAATATTCCACATAAAATTTGTTCAATACTTTTAACATATGATTGATAAAATTCTTCATCCCTACCCTCATAAAAAATGTTCAATGAATTTAAAAAAATATCCAATTTGATTACTTCGTGACAAGATCTGCCTTTCTTCCTTTTAAAGAACCGTCCGGATCTTCAACTCTACTTTTTATTATGGAACAGTACATGTCGAATACATTATTCAGTAGTTTTCACTTGTAAACACCTTTTAAGATTACCTAATTCGTACCTAAGATTTACGTAAAAATTGCTGAAAACTGACAGCGTATTGTTATGGGTCGTCAAGCGATGAAAGCGACTCTGCAATTAGCTTTGCTTTTTTCCTCCATGGCACATGCTAAGAAGTGTATATTTCACTAATCTGACAATTTGCAAGTAACGTAAAGAAAGGGGAAAGTTGAGAAAAAAAACGTCATCTCTACATTCTCGAGCGCAGCTGATTTTTTTTTTATTTTGAAGGAAATAATTCAAGGATGACGTAACATATTATATAATCAAACGATTTCCACAAGCCGAAATCAGAAAAAATCGTCGATAAAGTTTAATACGTGCTACTGCGCGATGCTTAATTAGTTAAAAATATTAATTATGAGTATTATTAATGTCACCGTAAAATTGTAAACACCGTTAGATTGTAATTTATCTCGCGAGATTGTAAACTGTCGAAAGATTGTGAACCTCAGCGAACTGCTTACAATTTAACGTATTATTATTCGGTAGATTGTAATCTATCGAAGTGAAACCGTCAAATTGTGAAACGGCCATTTTCTACTTTTCTATTGGTTATAAGAGATGTGACATTCTCGTTTTCTATTGGTTATAAGTGATGTGACATTTTCGGTCAATTAATCCAATCGATTATTTCCTCATTTGTTCATTTTAAAGTTGAACCTAATCGAATCGATTATTTCTTCATTTGTTAATTTTAAAGTTAAACCATTATAGTATATAACATTTTTTTCTTATTATTATCTAAGCTTCGCAACCCAATAGATCTCTTTGAAGCTCGAGTAAATCCCTATTTAGCATCGTGGGCTCCCCCTACTATTACGTACATACCTGATTATAAAGATTAAAGATACATTAAAGTAGGATAGTACACTTTTGCGTGGCGTAGGTAATTAAAAACTGTACAAAATCATATCTAACCAAAACGACATTTTTATATAATGCCTCCTATTTACATTAACATTCTTATTATAAAAAGTCTTGTTAATTAATATTGAGATTATTTCAATTAAGTAGGTAATGCTTAATCTCGGCTGAGTTTTACCTACTCAACACGAAAGTACTCTACAAACAAGGTCGTCGTTCAACATTCATGCTCGTGTTATGCTACCGATTCCGCTCAAATTATCAAGCATACCATTTGCCATATAGTTGTCAGTCCGTAATTGACTATGTCTTGCCACCATGCAATGCAGTGAATTAACCGCTGTAGAAAAAGACGAGCATATAGAATTTACTTTGAGTGATAAGGACAACAACATTGTTGTCGAATATTACCATGCAAAATGTACTGCCATGCGCTATATAGCCATACTATCATCGCCGTGTGTCGCATGGGTGTGAGCGAAATAGACGACAACAGAGTACAGACCGTTCATGCAATGAGCATCAGTGAGCAATAAGCATTTTCAGACGGAATTAGAGTTAGGTGTAAATGTATGAATCATTATTGTAACCTCACCATTTTATAGATGTAAGTAGTGTTTAGTGTGTTAAATGTTGTTTTATTATTAGGAGTGTAAAAAAAAGCATTTGAACAGTTAACTACCTTATAACCTTTACAAAAGTAGCATAACATAACTTCCGCCATTTTGTATTTTTGTTATGTTTCTTCTGTATGACTTAAAACTTGTCTTGGATTGTTTTTGTTTAGCCCGGTAAAAGATTTTGTTAAATTTGCATGATTATTGTTGTTTAGAACCTATTAATGAGGTGTGAGAACAAGAGTGTTTTGGATTACTTCTTAGGATTCTGTAAATTTAACAACGAAACAATAACATTGATTTGGATAATTTTTAGTAGTTACCTATTTTATATATTTTAGTTCACATTTTTGCATTTATAAGGAACTTTATAAATGGATATACATAAGTAGGTATTATTTTCTGTTATTGTATAAATTGTAGTAGGTAACTATATGTTTTAATAATATGTAGATATAATCTAACATCATTCAGTTAGTACAAAAAGAGTTAATAAATAATGCCGAAAATTGTGCACATGCACCTACTAACTTTAGACTATAAACTCATTAAATCCATAACAAATCTTGCAATGGAATAATGGTTATTATATCCACTTTAGTTATAATACCATGAAATGTTTATTTTCAGGTAGATTATGGCTAACAAGGACTCTGACTATCCCTCATCTCAGTCAGGTTTGTTTTGTAATCTTATTCATATATATATACATACCTACCTAAAGTAAAAATATTCTATTGTTATAATCATCATAACTAATCATTTGTAATTGCTTGAGTTGTGGCTCAAGTCAATTTAAGATATTCTAAGTAACCAAAATAATCTTGTCATGCTTTTATTTGTCTGGCCTTGAATTTATATTGTTTTAATGCTAACTAGTGACTGAATGATCTAATGTAAAATAGTAAGGCCATTTACACATACTACACTCACTGAGTGTGAGTGAATGAGATGAGTTTTTTGTTTATTATAAAGTTAGTATTCTAAGCAAATGTGTCTTGTACTTCATCATATATGAATAAAGACTGCTTTCTTTTCTAAGCTTATGATCTTTAAATAAATTAAATTGACTGTTTAGTAGTTATGATGATTAGAACTCCTATCTATTAATTACTATGCTGCAGCGACATGTTTTTTTACTGTTTGAGTATTGAAAATTGTTCTGGTATGTTTCACTGTCTGTAATTTGTGCTTTCAAGTACTTACTTTTGAATTTGTATTATATTGACTGGTAAAAGGTGTCAGTTACTGATCAATATTTTATATTATTATCTATTTGTTGACATAAACCACCAAAACATCAGTTACATAATTTTTTTTAAACTCTTAACTAATAACAGTCAGAAGAGATTTAATTAAAAAATATATCACTCCATCCGATTTGACCGTTAGTAGTGGTGAGTGGCTGAGCCAATTAATGTATCAGAAAATAAGTAACAACAATGTATCCCAGAATGGTCCGCTCACTAGAATGTGCAAGTATTATAATTCTGTGTGTGCTCATGTTGATATTTTTCACAATAGTAGTTATGAATTTAGAAAGATTATTCTAGGTGCAGACTTGCAACCAGAATAACTTAATTTTTTTGTCATTAAATTTTTTTATTTTTTTTTTGTCATTAAGTTTAATATAATATGTACATATTATATACTGTATGTAATTGTTAATATTTGGTAAACCAGCACTGAAGATTCCACTAAAATGCTGTGTACAGATCTAATTGGACTTCAGGTTTACAAATGTTATTTAGTGTGTAATAACTGTATGTATTTAACCAATCGGTTTTCTGTTTCTGTACCTTAAATGTAAAATAAAATAATATAAATCAACTATACTACATATATCAATTTCAAAAACGATTGCTGTATGTAATGTCAATCACCTTTTGGAAATAAATAGTACGTACATATTTAAATATGAGAATGTGTTTTTCCAGATGGAGATGATGTAGACCCCGATCAAGAAGAACAGAGGCAGCCAGTTAACAATAACGTTGCAAATATCCTTGCGAGACTCCAATCTACTGGAGCTTTGATTAAGAAACTAAAGAAAGAGTTTTATTGCTTCACATGTGAATTAGATTTTCCTGATAGGGAAGAGTTAAATAATCATCTCATTCAGCATGTTTCCTTACCGAATGTGGAACTTGTAAAACTGCCTTCTGACGACGAAGACGGACCTCCTTCGGAAGACGAAAACTGGTTTGACGAAGAAGAGCCAAAAATGCCAAACCCAAAAACACCTCAGAAGGTAGATATATCAGAAATACTTAAAAACAAAGGCCTTTCAATTAAAAAGAATGAAAGTTCCCTAAATTCGACCTCGGCATTAGATAAATTGAGCAGCTTAGGGCTGACAATAAAAAATAATGCAACTCCAATCAAAAAAGAAAAGCCAGATAATGACAAAAGTGATGTTATGCAAAGGTTAGGTAAATTAGGAGGTATTAAATTAACATTAAAGTCAGATGGAAGTAATACAAATACATTTAAAGTGGTCAATGGCTTAAAAGACTTCAAAGCCTCAGATGATGAAGATGAAGGAAGTGAAAAAGATAAAAACAATGATGATGATGATAATGACAACAACCTTAAAACAGAAGAAAGTAATAACCAAATCAAGTCGCGCACACCTTCTGAAAGTGAAGATTCAAACTCTAGTAAAGCTATTAAATTCCCCAAAACTTCAAAAGTCACGAATTTCAATGAGGTAGAAGATCAACTCGGTGCCACGTCAGTCAACAAACAAGCCAAGCCTCGGGCGAGACCAACAGTTAAACAAACTCCAACAAGAGCAAATCTACAAACTCAGAATAATTGTAATGCAGAAAAAATTTCTGAAGCTGAACTAGATCGGCCGCATTCCAATTCAAGTACGGAGACCATAATTATTAAAAAAGAAGAAACTGATTCTACCGAATCTCGTCCGATAGATGCACCTTTGTTTTCGGGACAGATTAAAACTGAGCGAATGTCCCCAACTCTTCCAGACAGTTCGACACCTATTGTCACTCAAATTAAGACTGAAAATGATACTATAACATCACCACCAATAACTACAATGCCATTAAAATGTGTAACTAAAACGGAAGAACCAGTCACGGTAATAGAAATAAACGGAGATTCTAATGATGAGGACGATGATTGCTGTGTTGTTTCAACCACCCCTGCCCCTGATAATAAGCCAAAAACGGAAATGAAATATGTTCCAATTGCGACTAAAATAGAAGAAGTTAGTTATCCTTCGTCAACTTCGTACTCTACAAGTGCATTCTCTATGGCTCAAACTAATCATAGTTCAGCTTCAGGTGTGTCACAAGCGCCCACAATACAAACAACAGAAAAACAGCATAGTTTTGATTGGAATGCACCAGATTCAAAACCTGCTGTTGATATTTTTGAAAAAAGTGCAGATGACATATTTGATAGTCTAATATCGACGGGTAAAAGAGAGAATATGATATCTGATGCAAATGAATATATATCTATTGATAAGTTAGGTTCACAACATACATGCGACGTTTGTAACACTCGATTCACAGACATATCTTTACTCGATGATCATAGAAAAATGACAGGTCATTCTCAAAGTTTAGTGGCTTCCTCTAGTCTTCTTCCATACAACAATTCCCCAAATATCATCTCGAATCTTTTGCCAGTAAAACAAATAGCAGACCAAGTTGGCAAGTTATCATCTATAGGAAACAATTCAGGATTCACTCATCAACAAAATGTTATGATTAACATACAAGCATATCCCGGAGGAGGCGGAGCCATGATGCCTGGACAAACTCCATATAATACTTTCCAAAGTCCACCTAACTATACCACATCAAATAATATGTACGGTCCGACTGGACAGCCCATGTCTGAGCAATTTCCACCAGGAAACTTTATGGATTCAAACATGCCTTATGGACAGTATCCATCCCATATGTCTAAACCTGGTTACCCTAGTACGATGTCGCAGAATACATATCCTCCACACATCCCTTATTCAGGTAATACACCACTTCAAGCCATGCAACAAGCTGTTTATGGCCAGACGGGAATTATGAATCAACCTGGGACTATGGGACCACCACCGGCCCAACCTTACGCTCCCGTGTCTAGTCCAGGTGGACTAATGAAACCACCAAGCACTAGCGGGCTTACTATACAGAATGTACAAACCTTTCCTCCTGGTCAGTTAGCCATGTCAAGTACAGGTCAAGGCATGGATCACAAGGCAAGTCAAGCGATGGGGCAAATGCTCCCGCCCCCTTTGAGAATGTCGTCGGGGCCGACTGGGCCTCAAGGATCTCGTCCCCGAATGCCGAGTATACGGCCAGCAGCCCCAAAACCGTCTATACGATCCGGAGTGCAAGTGCACGGCCAAATCCGTGGTGCTAAAATTTCTCAACGAATGCCTTTAAAACGTACAGGGGGAGCGACAGGAGGACCTGGTACTAAGCGACGGCCTGATATGTTGCTGCCCGGCAAACACGACAATGAAGATTGCCAAGTTATGGCCATGCAGAAACAAAGAGAGGGCCTTCCATTGATTCATAGTGTGCAGGGAGCTAAAGATAAATTGGGAAGTCAAATCTCAATTACCAAAAAGACTGTAAATAAAGAAGCAAATGCCATGGCCAACGTCCTTGCTTCTCGTGGTATTAGCATCAAACAGAAGCAGAAAAGCCGATCCCCAACACCAGAAAGACCTCTACCACATATTCCTAATCTCGGTTCTGGTGTTAGCATTAAGCATACTTCAAAATCCAGTAATTTCTCAATTCCCGAAGCTAAAGTGGGTGGAGGTATGGCTTTGTGTAAAATCTGCAAAAAAATGTTTGGATCGTACAGTTCCCTTCAAGTCCACATGGCAAATGCACACCCACAGAGTAAAGTACCTTCGTTCAAATGCGATGAATGTCCAGCTTCATATCCTAAGTCATTGCAGTTACAGCATCACAAACGAGTGTTTCATAACATGACTGGAGCTAACAAGGAACTTGGTCTACCTGTCGTAGATTTCTCTCAAATTGATAACCTTAAGAGACTTAGTAATTTAGGCATCTATAGTTTTATCCCCTTAGCAAACCGAGAGCAGGCCAATGGATGCTTTGGTATACCTGTAATATCAGTTCATAACATGAATTCTGGCATGACATCAAATTTGCAAGCCTTAGGTGCAGATGGTTTGTTGAGTTTAGGCCCACTCAAGCCATTACCGAATACTTAAAAGTGATCTTTTCTAAAATAGTGTCTCAAATAAATGTATTATGTACTTTGTTAAAGTAAGTTCCTTGATTGTAGCATATAATTTGTAATGTACATATAGTATAGTTTACAATGATTACTGTAATATATTGTTGTTAGCTAACGGCTGTTATTAGCTAACAAAGTGTACTTGGTGTAAAACAAAGTTGATTTTGTCTGTTTGCTTAGAACTTTTTGATTTCGTTTTCTTATTTCTACGCGAACGTCGGATTAAATATGATTGGTATCGGGAAGCAGTATAACTGCCAACAAATTACCTTCATCCTAAAACAAACTATCTAAACCAATTCGTAGTAGATATTCAAATTCGAATACACAGATTTAAAAAGAACAATAGTTTTGATTGGGTATCAAACAAATTAACAGTATTTAGTTGGTAAGTGCAATAATTATAGATCTTATAGTTTTAAGTAAGAAACATTTATTTTTTTAATATCTCAGAATCTTAATAATATATTACACAAAACATGTCTTATGTTTAACATCCAGTTTGTTTAAATTATTGTATCTAAAAAGTATGGTCTTTATATATTGCTAATAAACAATTATTTCCTTTCTGATTAAAATTCTGTTGTATGGTAAACTCCTGCCAAACACCCATATCTGACTGAGCCAATGGCAAGTTCAAATTATGAACTGTCAAGATGGCGCAATTGTGCAGGACAAGTTCCGTTAAGTATGCTTGTTCACAATATTATGTCATTGATTATTATACAACTGTACCCAAATAACATTGAATTTAATACAGAAGTAACTAGAGAAATCCACTGTTAAGCAAATGCATGTTTAAAATTGTAATAATTAAAAAAAGTTTCTGTCCACTTTTTTCTTTTTATAGTAAAACATTTAAAACCAGAAATGAAGGAATAAAACAAATATATAATGTTTGACAATATTTATTTCTTTAATGTGTGCTTAAGCTTTTGGTGATATTAATATAAATAATTGTCATCATAGTATCCAAAATAATTATACCATAAAAATGCACTTAAATGTTCCTTGGTGTATGTTACAGGTACAACCTTCAAATAACCAATAAAACAGGAAAAGAACTCATTACAAAGTATCACATTTATAAATGTGCTTATGTATCTTGCTGACCAACTAGTAATTAGTAGAGTTGTTATACTTTATGACATTATTCAAGGCGCAGGAGCTCCACATCAAAGATAAGAGTAGAGTTAGGGGGTATGACACCTGGGTGTCCTTGCTGACCATATGCATAGTCTGGAGTGCAGGTTAACTTGGCGCGTTCTCCAACAGACATCTGAAACATTTGTCATTTGATTATAAGTTTATTGATTTAATTATTAAATATGAATTACTATCCATATTTGGAATCTAAATATGTAGATACTGTTATAAACCTGACAACTGATAATAAAAACTGGGAATAAGTGCAGTTTAACCCACACTATCAGGGCTTGAGATATTCACTTTTTGACCCACTAACATCAAACAAATTTGTATGATGGTATGGTTATGTGTCAAAGTGTGAGCTAGTCATTCTACACAAATTCTTTTTGAGTTTAAGTCTCAAGTCCCAGCGCTACTTATTAGTAATCATAGTTCTGAAAGAAGGAACAACTAGCAGTTAACACTACATATCCTACAAAAATATATTAAATTGACCATGGCTTATTTATTGATACTCAATATTAATCTTGAATAATTTAGTTTTTTTTGTTTCATTTTAAGAGTCATGGTGTTCTGTTCTGGCGTGATTGTAAAATTTCTAAACATTTACTGCAATATTCCTCTTGTCAGCAAAAGTAAACAAAGCTCTCAAAAATAATAGAACATAAATATTTAATTAACAAATGTATATTATTTTTTTGTAGGAATCTTCAATAATGCATTGTTTTCAAGCATAGACAACATGTGAGTAATATGTGTGAAACACAAAATAATTACTACTGAAGTAATAACCAAATCAAAGACCTCCTCCCCCCATAGTGCTTATGTAATACTTGAATGGCCCCATATTGTCAATGTATAAATGTTTCAACAAGGGTTTGGCCTTTTTGTTAATGGCAAATCCAATGATAGATATCAATTGTCATCATAAAATAATCCCACTAAATAATTTGTTATTTAATTCAGATCCTGATTTGTGACATTAATTCACAGATGCTTCACTCCTACTCCAACACAACAAGACAGGGTATAAGACTTATACTGTGTACAAAATATGTTCTACCATTTTCGTTAACATGATTTTACGAACAAACCACAAATGGCCATATTAATGCCTGTTTATATTTTGAAACACTAATTATTTATTGATCTGGCCTGATCAAAGTATGAAACTATCAATTCTTTGATCTAGGCATAACTTAACATATTTTTACTAAGGCTCATGTGATGCAAAGCTTCTAATTGTGAACAGTTTCTAACCGTATAACTTTTATAAAACGTAGTGTACCCATATGAATGTAGCATCATATTATAAATTATAAGCTATTGAAGCAAAATTTCTTAACACCTTTGCCACGCCTTCATCCCAGCCTTTGATAACCTCTCCCTTTCCAATCTTGAACTTGAATGGCTTTCCACGGTCACGAGATGAGTCAAACTTTTGTCCATTAGTTAATGTACCAGTGTAGTGGACTACAACAGTTTGACCTTTTTTTGCATAGGTTGCCTCTGAAAAATAACAATGATATTATGGTCAATCAGAATAACAAAGTACAATTAGAATCATAATTGAAAGTAAGATAATGTGTGATTAAAATAGCTACAGAAGATGCATGACGAGAGAAGACTTAGCTGATAGTTATTATAAACGCGACAGGTTATGGACGCGGCGTGTTGCATCCAGACGCCGGCCGCAAGCTTTAAGAGCAGACTTAATTATCTTTACTTGATCTCGGGGCAATTACCGCAAGTATATATTAAGATTTTGAAATAAAATAAGATGAATTGAATAATCATATAATTAAGTCGCCTTTTTGATTCAACTTACCATCGCCAGGTGAAATAGTTTCCACGTTGACACCCATGATGAAGGTTTTTTTAGATCTAGGGTTAGTTCAAATAAAAACTAAATTTTCGATGCTTAATTGCAGCTAGAATTATCCCAGAATGTTTATTGAATTTTCTAAATGAATCAATCACAGAAGTCAAGAATTAATGTAATGGCGTGAGCCGTGACTGGCCCGTGAGGCGTCTTCAGGGTTGCCACATTTCCGATTGCATTTTAAAAAATACTATATTTTCATAAAGAATAACGTGGTAATAGGTAAAAAATTATGAAAATTAAAGAACAGTACATTGTCCAGTAAAATGATACATTTTTTATTTCAATTTAAAGAAAATTATTATAGATGTTTTTTTTATGGCCCGCAGAGCACGGTTTGTGCATTGTGGCCCAGGGTCAAAAACAGGGAAACGAGTAAAAACATAAAATTATCGGCTGGAAAGGAATTTAGTAATAGAAAATAATTAATCTATAAAATAAAAGATTAATTCTTATAAATCTACATAAAAAAAGGAGTTTAAGAAAACATATTTACATATATTTACGTTGATATTGTCTAAATTTTTATATCTCATATCCGCAATCGCACGTAGGGCTGTCATTAATATTTAACTTAGTAAGATGAGCTGGGGTGCAGACGTGTCCCAGTCGCATACGAGACAGTACTGTTGTAACTTTTTTACCGAATCTCAGTCTTCAAAACCAGGGCTTACTGGGTATAGAAGGTTGAATAGTACGATAATGGCGACCTTTAGAACTATCTTGAGCCCAAGATTCAGTCCAGGAATTCCTGAGATAAATCCCTGAAAGAGACATCAAGTCATGCGCATAGTTTCTAAAAATGTATGCATCTTCAATCTTCACCGCCTCATTGGCTAAACGATCGGCTTTCTCGTTTCCAGATATTCCAGTGACCAGGAACCCATGCAAACGATACGGAATAGTTTTCTTTTATACATTTTAATAGCAGGTTTCTAATTTCGGAAATGACAGGGAATTGATAATGTGAGCCAAATGGGAACCGGGCTAGGGCATTTAAAGAACTCAGTGAATCTGTAAAAATTACAGTTTTTTTGAAGTTTTAGTAGAAGGATGTATTCTATTGCTTTAACAAGGCCAATACATTCGCCAGTGAACACGGAGGATTCAGGAGGGAGTTTAGTTTTTTGAACAATATTGTAATTAGAGTGCAGTACACCAACACCTACACAGCCATCTTTGGAACGCTTAAATATTATCTGTAAATATTCGATGCCATTGTGGCCACTTGGTGTCAACAATATAGTTAAATGTTAACTTTTGGTTTTGCTCAATTTTCGCAAGACCTGTGCTATAGTATGTATATCAGGAGAGATTACAAGGGAATCATAACTATATTTGAACAATGGATTAGAAGTCGCTTGGTGAGTAGGAGCCTCAAAAGAAGTAAATCTTTTGTAACTTTCAAACAAACATGGTGGGCGTTTGTTTTTCCAATAACTACAATTGGGGATTAAAGATGCCAGGCAAGTCAGTTTAGGTGTTAGAATATGGTTACTGAATTGGACACAACGGAATAGGAATTTATCAGACAGAAATTGCCGTCCTAAGCTTAATGGAGGCTCTACACACTCGACTTTCATACAGTTGATTGGACTTGACTTCATAGCTCCTAGGACTATTCTCATTGCTTTAGCCTGAATATTATCAATTTTTTTAAAACCAGAAATATTTCCTGGTTCCAACAGGAAAGTACCGTAATCCATTACACTTCTGATTATGGCGTTGTAAATAAGTTTTAAGGAGTGTGAATGCGCTCCCCACCAGATGCCCGATAAGCATCTAAGAATATTCAAATTACGTTCACATCTTGCAGTTACATATTCACAATGGGGTACACCGGTAAGCTTGGAATCAACTACTCCTAAGAATTTGACGTCATTAGTCGAGGGAATCAAAACACTATTGAACTTTACCTGGACCGGGGGAGGCCTACGCATTCTAGAAAACAACACAACCCTACTCTTGGATACAGATAAGTCTAAACCATTCGAATTTAGCCATGATTTTAAAAATGAAAGGGAAGATGTAGGAGCTTGGCAATTATTTTTAATCGATTTTCCCTATTTGTATATAAGAAGATATCTGCATACTGTAGTACGTTTGCTGATGCCTGCAATGATGTTTCTAAATCATATGTATAGATGTTATAGAGCAAAGGACTGAGCACAGAACCCTGTGGTAATCCTTTCCACATAGTCCGGGATAGTTTGACATCTTCGATAAATATATTAATGTATCTTTCACTGAGCATATATATAATGGAGGAAATCCCTGTTCCGGTACAGAAGGGGCTGCAAGATGATCCATGAACTGATCAGCTAGGGTTAGCGGTTTAGAAGAGGGAGAATTATTATATACAGATCTAAATTTACGAATATTACGCCAGACCAGTCTGGACTGGCACCCTCTTGAGTGTGCTAAATCTAAATCAGGTTTCAAAGTTGAAGCTAAATCAGGTGAACATAAAGAAAGATCAGGCGCACTTGCACCTTCACTTGGACCAGTAACACGGGTTGGCAGCCCAGTGTTTAAAATACAGATACAATGAGAGTCTATAATATCTAATAATTGGTCTCCTTAATAGTTGGAAGAAGTGCTTCCCCAGGATTGATGTCGGCAATTAAAATCACCTAGGACTAAGAATGGCTTTGGAAGGTGTGACATGTAGTAAAATTGTCACGAAAAATTTACATTTTACAAATTTAAACTAGCACCTAAGACAAAAGCCAAGCCAGCACTATTAAATATTGTTTATCAAAATCTACAAGGTTTGGCTGGCAAGGAATTAGAATTAGAACTGTTTACAAAAAGTCGCGAAATTGAAGTTATTTGTATTACAGAACATTGGCTAAGAAGTTATGAAACGATTGTTATTGACAACTTCCAATTGTGTAGCGTATTCATGAGAAGTAGTTCTATTCGTGGCGGATCATTAATATTAATAAATAGTAATGTCAAATCGAAAGATCGTAAGGATATTGTAAGTCTATCAATTGAATGTGTTATTGAATTATCTTGTGTAGAACTGGAGAACTATGTTATAGTATGCGTGTACCGGCCCCCTTCCGGAGATTATTACAAATTCGAGTCAGTAATGGAAGATGTACTTAAAAGACTGACTAGAAAACGAAAGTCGGTCATTATTTGCGGAGATTTTAACATAAACATACTTGAAAGTAATTCAGTAAGCACTAGATTTATTTCAATGTTTAAATGTTTCAATTTAGTAAACCAATTCTCTGAACCAACAAGAATCACCTCCCATTCAGCAACTTGTTTAGATAACATATTTTCGAGTGACAAACCTATTTCTAAATCAGTAATAACAAACCTTACTTCTGACCATTGTGGTCTGATAGTTGGCTTCTCTGACAAAATATTTGATGAAGCCAAGCACGTTAAGTATCGCCCCATCACAAAAAGTCGCATCGAAAGTTTTAGGCAAAATATTAATTCTAAGGTTTGTGCAATAGATTACTCTGTTCTAAATAATTCGGAGAGTCAATACAAAAGATTGTTTAATGTTATTCAAAATGAGTTTGATAGTATTTACCCATTAAAGACTGTAAAGTGCAACAAAAAAAAAATCAAGTTTGATGACTGGGCCACGAGTGGTATTTTTAAAAGTAGGAATAGGCTTTATGAATTATATGCATTAAGAAAATATAATCACAACGCAGTGTTTATGGAATATGTCAGAAATTATTCCAAAACTTTTAGAAAAGTTTGCAAATATACAAAGGCATTGCATATACGTGAGAAAATTAAGAATTCAAGTAATAAAATCAAAACTTCTTGGAATGTTATAAATCGAGAAACAGGAAACCTTAAATCTCCTTGAATAATTCAGTATTCTATTAATAAGAAAAAAAAAAAAAAAAAAAAAAAAAAAAAAAAAAAAAAAAAAAAAAAAAAAAAAAAAAAAAAAAAAAAAAAAAAAAAAATTAAAAAAAAAAAAAAAAAAAAAAAAATTTTTTTTATTTTTTTTTTTTTAAAAAATTTTTTTTTTTTTTTTTTTTTTTTTTTTTTTTTTTTAAAAAAAAAAAAAAAACAAAAACCCCCCCCCCCTCCCCCCTCTCTCCCCCCCCCCCCCCCCAACAAACCCCCCCCCCCCCCCCCCCCCCCCCCCCCCCCCCCCCCCCCCCAAAATTTTTTTGCGGGGGGGGGCCCCCTCCCCCCCCGGAAAAAAAAAAAAAAACCAAAAACCCAAAAAAAACCTTTTTTTTAAAGGTAGATGATAAGATTATTGTTGAAAGCTCAGAGATTGCTGATATTTTTGAAGATTTCTTTACAAACATACCTGTAATTACTACATCTTCTCTTAACTCCTCTTCCAAAGAGGCTATTAGTTTTCTTAAAAGTCACGTACCGGAATGCAAAATAAATTTTCAGTTTAAGCACGTTAGCGCTGGTGATCGTGGGCGTCCTTGATTTTTAAAGTTTTAACTACAACTTTTAAATCTTTAAAATTAAAACATTCTGGAGACTTGTGGGATGTTTCTGTACGTATTATTAAGGACATTATAGATATTATTGCCCCAGATCTTGCGTATATTTTTAACAATTGTATTGATGAAGGAAGTTTTCCAGATTTAATGAAGCATAGTAAAATAATACCTTTATTTAAATCTGGATGCAGGACAGATCCTACTAATTTTAGACCCATCTCAATATTGCCAACTTTAAGTAAAGTTTTTGAAAAAATTATACTAGAACAATTAATTACATTCTTTAATACAAACAGTCTTCTACACAACGCACAATACGGTTTTACTAAAGGTCACTCCACTACCGATGCTGGAATAGCTCTGTTACGACATATATTTGATGCATGGGAGAAAACTCAAAATGTACTGGGAGTTTTCTGCGATTTGTCCAAGGCGTTTGATTGTGTTGATCATGAGACTCTGCTTTGCAAACTTGACCACTATGGTATAAAAAATGTAGCTCTTAACTTAATAACCTCTTACCTAAGTTGTC